CATGAGCAAGGGCGGGTCTGTGTTGAAACGCTCCTGTCAATCAACAATCGTGGGAGGGGCGTGCGAGCTTGTGACGTCACAGGCTCGAATGGCTCGATTTGAGGCAGGGGAAAACATATAAGGAGATTAAAACAAAACCACTGGATGGATTTTTATCATTATATGATGGTTGTGTACAGACACTGCCAACACACATTTCAGTACAATCAACTTGTAAAAGTGCATGTACCATTATATGACCCCTTTAAGAATTTGTTCAGCTGATTGAAGACAACTTTTTCAATGATCTTGCCTATGAAAGGAAGATTTGAGATCGGTCTATAGTTGCTTAAGATGGTCTTATCCAGATTGCTCTTTTTCAGGAGGGTCTTGACAACTGCAGTTTTCAGGGAGTTTGGAAAACTCCCAGAGAGAAGTGAGGCATTTACCACTTCTAGGAGATCTGCTTCTAAGCTGTTTAACACACTTTTGAAAAAAGATGTGGGAAGTGCGTCAAGACAAGGGCGCAGTTTAATGTTTTAAGGTGCTGTACGGTTCCTTCCAAAATGTTGCCTTTAATTTCAGAATCAGACATAGTAACTGCTTTCTCAGGTTGTGGTTTGATCTGTCTGACCCCAGCGCAACTCACGGATGTGCTGATCACCTTTCTGATATTATTTTCTCAGAGAAGAAAGAAGCAAACTCACTGCACTTGCTGTCTGAGAGCATTTCACTGGGAATCTGGCTTGAGGGGTTTGTCAGTCTCTCTACAGTAGCAAAAAGAGTGCGTGTGTTGTTTAAGTTGCTGTTTATAATATTCAAGAAGAAAGTCTGTCTAGCTTTGCCTAGTTCCATATTAAAAGCATGGATGATGTCTTTGTAGATGTTATAATGGACTACAAGTTTTGTCTTCCGCCACATGCGCTCTGCTTTTCTGCATCGTCTTTTCATATGTCGAGTTTCTCCAAGGTGCTTTTTGTCTACCACTATTCTTCCTGACTTTCACAGGAGCAATATCAATTACACTTCTAACTTTTGAGTTAAAAGAATCAAGGAGAAAATCAACAGAGTCAGCAGATATGCTTGGTATTAAAGTTATAGCCTTCATAAATAGCACACTAGTGCATCTCTTCTTGACAGACACAGATCTAGCTTCAATGGCAGGAGAGATCAATATATCAAAGAAAATACAGAAATGATCAGACAGTGCTACATCCTTAATAACAATCAATGAGATGTTTAGACCCTTACTGATAAGTAAATCTAGAGTGTGTCCACGATTGTGTGTAGGTATATTGGTTTCTGCATTATCAATGTGAATGTTAAAATCTCCAGCAATGGCAAAACAGTCAAACTCTGAGGAAATTGTTGATAGCAGTTCTGTAAAGTCCTCAGCAAAGGCTGGAGAGTATTTTGGAGGCCTGTAAATAATGATAAGTAAAATACGTGGAGCACCTTTTAACACAATACCCAGATATTCGAAAGAAGGGTAATTCCCAAATGATATTTGCTTACATTGATAGACATCTTTAAAAAGAGCAGCTACTCCTCCACCTCTCCTAACAGCTCTGCAGACACTCATAAAAGTAAAGTTAGGAGGGGATGTTTCATTGAGGACTGTTGCACTGCAGCTGTCTTCTAGCCAAGTTTCATTTAGAAACATAAAGTCCAGGTTGTATGTGGTTATTAAGTCGTTGACTAGAAGTGATTTATTTTTAAGTGAGCGAATGTTTAAAAGTGCTAACTTAACAGTCTTACTTTTTGTCCCCACAGCAATCTTAGTTTGGCGTGTAATAGGCACCAGATTAGATGGGTTTGCTGTACGGCTTTTGAAGGCCTTAGATTTTCTATCATGTAATTAAACAGCAATAGAGAAAGATTCAGGCACACTGGGTTCCCGCTTGTTCTGTAAACATTTAAGAAAGCTACTGTTGTCTTAGCGGGGACCCGACACATATCACCGAGAGCTGGTATCAGTTGTTTTTGGTTTACCTCGAGCAGATGGAGGAGGGTGTGAGCCCTGGCGCTGTGGCAGAGGCCGAAGAGATCTCACAGGAGGAGGTGGAGGGCGAGCTGGGAGGGGGAGGGCGAGCTGGGAGGGGGAGGGCGAGCTGGGCCCGCAGGCTTTGGTGGTTGTGGGGCCTGCCGTTTTTTTGGTTAGCATCTGGGGGCTTGCAGCAAAAGAGTGGGATAGTTTGGTTCCAGCATACACCAGTTTTTCCATTTTCTCTGAGAAGCACAGAAGTGGAGATGCTGGAGAGAGGGATAACATGTCTGGGGAGAGGGGCTGTTGTTCTGGTGTTATCGGAGGCTGTAATATGCTGTCCTGGTTTCCCTCGCTGTTTTCCAGAAAGTCGTCCTTGGGTGCTGAATCTTGGAGTAGTTCTAGTATGTCTCAGTCTGTCTGTGGTGAGCGCTGTGGGCAGGGCTCAGCTGAGATTGTGTCCGTGAGCAGAAGTTGTTGTGGCTGAGGGGTGTTATCATTGTCCTTGTGTGATATGTCAACCGCATGTCCATTCAGGTGCTGAAGTGAAGTTCTGTGGTCATTCATACTGTGTCCAGGTGTGTGTGTGCCATTCAGGTTGAGTGGATTGGCACACACTGCAGAAGGATGATTGAGGGAGAAGTAGATATTGTCCTTTAGCACTCTTGAACCAAGTTTGTTTGGGTGGAGCCCATCCAGTTGAAACAGTTGACTCCAGAAAAGATTGAAGTTGTCAATGAAGTTCACTCCTTTTATATTGCAGGTTTTTTGCAGCCATGTGTTAAGCTGGGAGTGGTCCACTGATGAATGTCTGAACTTTTAGTCTTTTAAGTGTTTCAAAAAGTTCATTGAAATCCTTCTTAAGGAGTTCTGACTGCTCTTTATGAATATCATTCTTCCCCACATGAATGATGAGTCGATTTGCAGTCTTATGTTTCATCAGAATGTTCTGAAGTTCCCTGTTTACATCAGAAGTCGTTGCTTGTGGAAGGCAGCATGTAGTTGTATCCCTGCTAATAATGTTTCTGATTGGGTTAGGGTTAGGGTGTTCTGTCACGAGCCGCTTGCGCTGTTTGTGCGACTAAATTTGCGATCAAAATGCAGGCTGATATCCACCAGTGTTCATACGAGCAAGAATGCAATGCTTCCCGAATACCCACACGATTTCAAACGTGACATTGATTTTATACAACAGTAAAAAAAGAAAAGAAAAAAGGGTAACATTCAGTGATGTACTACATTTAAAACAGCATTGTCAGGCTTGCTCTGTTTTGCAATGAAATATGTGGCTTTGAACGAATCGTGAGATTCAATGAATGAATGACTCAAAGACTCACTCATAAAGATAGTGAGGTACTGCCACCTACTGGCAATTTTAATGTTTTTTAACATTGCAAATTTAATGAACATTGTTTTATTTAAAGCATTATTATTATTTTTTTTTTTAAGGTATTACAAAGGTAAAAAATTAAATGGAAAAATGGATTAAAGGGGGCAAATCTTGTCCCTTAATAGAAAAGGTGTGACTGCACCAGGAGGTACGGCACTCTAAAACATTGGAGAACCAAATTATGTAGAACTGCACAAGTGCTACTGCTAAAGAGTGCAATGTCAATAATTTCTCATAAGCTTAATTGAATTGGCCTAGAGAGAATAATTATTATGACATTTTCTGTCTAAAGACTACATATAAAATAACTACCAAAAGTAAAGTAACTGCAGTTTGACTAAAAGTTGACAAAAAATGCAAAGACTTTTCGTCAACTACAACTATAAAAAAAAGACCAATAAGCATTTTCGTAAATCAAAAATGGCTGCCAAAATTAACTGTGGCCTACATACACGGGTCGTGCGCGCTACAATGCTGTTGCGTATGTATTAAATATGACTGATAATTTAAGTAAAATGTTTTATTTAATTCAAGTAGCCTCCTTGTACATAATTCGTTTCTAGGGTTTAAAATGTATACAGATTTGACATTTTCCCCTCATACTTCTGTCGGAATGGGTACGAAGTTGGCATTGAATTTCATTTGAAATGGTATTAAAAAGGTCTTAAAAAGCCTTGAATTTAAGTTGGAGGATCCTGGGGGTACCCTGAATAAGTGCATTTACTAATAATATTACATGTTTATTTCTTGGACAGTATCATACTGAATTGACCGACAGCTTCACAGATTATAAAAGGAGGACTCTTTACTTTCTTTCTATGTAATTCTTTGCAATTTGAAGTTTTTGTTTTTCACACGATATTTGTATATACTACATATACTTCAGTGCAAAAAGTGTCAAACAAAATTGATTTCTTGATGTTTTAAAGTAGTATAATAGTAATTTCATAATATCTTAATATAAATTTAAAAGCAAACTGTGAAAAAATGGTTATTATTAAGCCAATAAGTGCTTCTCTGCCGCCATCTACTGGTTACAGTAGTACATTCATATCGTTTTTCTTTGTTTCTAAATTAAAGCGTTTGTTTACCACGTGTTCGTTTTCCTACAGCTACAAATGGGGACAATCTTTGAAAGATAAACAAATGTTTTTGGTCATCATAATAAAAATAACTTTTAAACGATAATATTTAGAGCTTTGAAGTGCTGGAAAAACTGTGAAGCACTTGAAATGTGCTTGAATTTCCCTCTCAAAAGGTTGTACAAACCTTGAAATGAATCATGTAAAACCATTCAACTATTTCTGCCACAATACCATGGTTATAGTTAGTATTACTACATTAAATCCATGGTGATTTAATGTATATTCAGCTACAATTAAATGTTTAGCAATAAGGCTTAGAATAATTGTTAACGATATCTATTTTGTTTTTGTTTTTTACCTTATTGGAATCGAAATTAAGAATCGGAATCAATAAAATTCAAACGATACCCAACCCTATATATACTGTATTTATCATATTTCAACATGTTTCACTCAATTGCACATATTTCAGTTTGGCAATACAGTTTATGAAAAGTCCAATTAGTAAAATGTCTATTGCTTTGTGGCACTAAACTGGATTTTTGTCTTTTTTTCATCTTAGACCTGATGGCATTGAAAGAGGAGAGTCAAGATCTGAATGAAAGGGAAGAGAAAGATCAGTATGAGACACATGATTTCATAACGGAAGAAAAACCTTTTAGTTGCTCACAGACTGAAAAAACTTCCTCACAAAAAAGGGCTCTAAAGACTGAAAGTTATCTCACCTGCCGACAATGTGGAATAACTTTCAGTCAACAAGGAAACCTTAGAGTCCACATGAGAATTCACACAGGAGAGAAGCCTTACACCTGCCAACAGTGTGGAAAGAGTTTCAGTGTACAAGGAAACTTTCAAGTCCACATGAGAATTCACACTGGAGAAAGCCCTTACACCTGCAAACAGTGTGGCATTAGTTTTAGACAAAAAGGAAGCCTTGACGTCCACATGAGAATTCACACTGGAAAGAAGCCTTTTACATGCCAACATTGTGGAATAAGTTTCAGTCAAAAAGCAAACTTTAATAAGCACATCAGAATTCACACTGGAGAGAAGCCTTTCACATGTCAACAGTGTGGAATAAGTTTCACTCAAAAAGAAAGCCTTAAAAATCACATGAGAATTCACACTGGGGAGAAGCCTTTCACATGTCAACAGTGTGGAAAGAGTTTCAGTATACAAGGAAACCTTAAAGTCCACATGAGAATTCACACTGGAGAGAGCCCTTACACCTGCCAACAGTGTGGAAAGAGTTTCTCTCAAAAAGTACAGCTGAACAGTCACATGAGAAATCATTCTGGAGAGAAGCCTTTAACATGCCAACAGTGTGGAAAGAGTTTCAAACTACATGGAAACCTTAGAGTCCACATGAGAAGTCACACTGTAGAGAGCCCTTTCACCTGCCAACAGTGTGGAAAGAGTTTCGAACTACGTGGAAACCTTAGAGTGCACATGAGAAGTCACACTGTAGAGAGCCCTTTCACCTGCCAACAGTGTGGAGTAGGTTTCAAACAAAAAAGAAGCCTTGACAGGCACATGATAACTCACACTGGAGAGAGCCCTTTCACCTGCCAACAGTGTGGAAAGAGTTTCAACCGAAAAGGAATCCTTAATGACCACATGAGAATTCACACGTAAGAGAGCCATTTTACCTGTCAAAGGAAATCTTAACAGGCACTTGAGAATCCACACTGTAAAGAGAAGCTGCCAACAGTGTACAGGGCTCTAGACTCATTCTTCCCAATGGTCGCACTGGTGCGATTAACTTTCTCAGTTGACCTTGATCATACTTTAATCATATTGACCTTGCATGTTAATGATCCATTGTCTTAATTCCTGCTTGGCATCATAATCCAGGGCCCTCAACACTGATTATGATTAGGTCTTCCACAGTGTTTAGCATGCAAACTTGCCCAAACATCTGACTTTATTCTCCACACACTTGAACGTCTCCCCCCGTCTCCCCCCCACACACACACACGCACTTTGAGAACCACTGAACATGTCACCTGAATATTTTCATGGCAACGTGTCATGCTTGTCACATGACACACCACAGCCACAATAGCGCTGTATTGCTTTTATTTCACTTGTCCTTTTTTATTCAAAATATTCACAAACTTTTTGGCTATGTCATCAACTACTTGATGTCCTGATTCTCGAATACATGTAAGTGAATGTGTTTTGCTGTTGAAAAACCTTTATAATGATCATGTTAGTTAATCTGTAATGCGTGAAGGGTGCCGCAGTTAAGAGAATCGGATCTGTCGGATTTACAACACGTCAATTCATCCCCTACTCCTGAAAGACGTGAAAGTGGCCAGTGAAGTTCAGAATAGAGTAAACTTTATAGTTACTTACACAATCTGTATCTGATACGAAGTGTGTTTTACAGAACTAAATGTATTGTTTTGCTAGTACTTAGTTGTATTTAAATGTCTGAACCCTGAAATAAACCTTATGTGGTTGAAAACACTGAATAGTTGTCACGTATGTCAAGCACTGAGCTCGACCGTGTCTGGCTTAGCGCCAGCCAAAGCGCGAAAGCACATTTGAATTTAGCAGTTCAATCAATCAATCAAACTTTATTTATAAAGCACTTTACAACGACCAAGGTAGACCAAAGTGCTGTACACAAGAATAAACAAATATACAAAAACAACACAACTCATACAGCATAAAATACAAAGTAAAATAACTTATAAACAAAACGTATAAAACAAACCATAAAACTGCTAAACCATAAAAGCAAAATGTCAACTCCTGGTGTTAAAGGCCAAAGAAAATAGATACGTTTTTAAAAGAGATTTAAAATGAGTGATTGAAGTGGCCTGTTTTACCGGCTGAGGCAGGTCATTCCACAATTTTGGAGCTGCCACTGCAAAAGCACGGTCCCCTCTGAGTTTACGTTTTGTTTTGGGTACATGTAGGAGCTGTTTATCAGCTGACCTAAGAGGACGAGTGGGTGTGTGGAGATGTTATAACTCAGAGATATAAGACGGGGCAAGACCATTTAATGATTTAAAAACAAATAAAATAATTTTAATATTAATCCTGTACTGTACAGGCAGCCAGTGAAGTGATGCAAAAGACGGGTGTAATGTGTTCGTATTTGCATACTCCTGTCAAGAGACGTGCTGCTGCGTTTTGCACCATTTGAAGACAAGCTAAAGAAGACCCACTAACCCCCACAAAAAGTGCATTACAGTAATCCAGCCGACTAGTGATAAAGGCATGGATTACTGTCTCAAATTGACGTCTTTCTAAGAAAGGCTTTACTTTGGCCAAATTCCTCAGCTGAAAAAAGCCCGTTTTGACTACTGCTCTGATCTGGCTGTCGAAGTTAAGATCAGCATTGATTTTAACCCCTAGGTTAGTGATAACGGGTTTATTATATTGGGCCAAAGCACCTAACTCAACGGAACGAGTCCCATTAGTACCACCAAAGATCATCACTTCCGTTTTATTAGCATTAAAACTAAAAAAATTAATAGCCATCCAGACTTTAACATCATCGAGACACTCTATTAGCGAACTGATAGTGCCATTCTTTTTTATCGGCATGTACATCTGATTATCATCAGCGTAACAGTGAAAAGATATGCCATGTTTCCTAATTACTGAGCCCAGCGGTAGCAAATACAGTGAAAAAAGAAGGGGACCCAGAATTGAGCCCTGGGGGACCCCACAAGAGAGAGGTGCAGAAGAGGACTCAGAATTTCCGCAGCTGACGCAGAGACTGCTAAACAGTGCTAATCAGTTGTTTAGCAGTGATGCGCTGAACGTTCAAATCACACCTGTGTGATCGTATGCGTCAGTTAACCGAGAACATGTGCCAGCCAGGTGCCAAAACAACCTGAATATTATGCACTTGCACCAATGCAACCTTGCGAAATTGTAACTCGCACATTATCAAAAATGTATCGCATTTGCGATCTGGTGTAGATAGAGTACCGAACAACTCAGAAACAGAATTCTGATAGATGGCCAAAGCTGTGACAAATAAAAAAGAAGGACATAGCAAAATCTGCGTGGTTGCATAAATGTTGATTGATTAACATAAAATAATCCGTAAAACAAAAAACAACATGGTCATCTGTGTCTAAGTTTCAGGAGTGTTGGTGTCAATAACAAATAACAAAAACTTATACTAAGATCAAAGACCAACGAATGGCAAACACACTTTTTTGTCTGATTTTGAGCCGATTTTTTTGGCCGAATTTCAGCTTTGACGTGCAGTGTAAAGGGGGAAACGAGAGGCGATAAACTTCTCCAGACCGGCAATCGGATGAATTTCTGACATGTTATAAATTTTGGTCACCCCTCTTGAGGTTATCGCACTGTTGAAGCAGAGCTACAAACCAATTGGCCTAAACTAAGTGTATGCCTTACTTAAGGTGGACGATGGTGAAATTTTCTTCTAGAAACAAACTTGTATTATTTTCATGTTATCACTGTGAAGCTGCTTTGATACAATCTGTATTGTAAAAAGCGCTATATAAATAAAGGTGACTTGACTTGACTACAAACACTCATTCCTAATTTTTCCAGGGTGTGGGACCCACTCACGCTAAAGACCTATTACAGATCAGTGGGTTGGACTTCACCTGCAGAAACTAAAAGCAATATCCGCCATCTTGTTTGGAAGCTAAGCTAACAGGCGCTGTGGAGCCAGATGTGAAGTTACAACAATGGCGGAAGGTACTCAATATGATATGGAAGAAGAGGATTTCGAAAGTCTGATGCTCAAATCAGATGTTTGTGGCTACCTTTACGAGCCGCAATATAGCGAAGAGCAGCTGAGGCTGATGTAGGAACAGGAGCCAGAAGACCTGCCTGTCGTGGACGAGGAGCCCGGACTGGCTCGAGCTGGGCGGACTGGTGGTGCCTGTGCTCTCACTGTGCGCCTACGGTCACAGAGATAGAGTCCGTCTGCTGCAAAGAATTTCAACGATGCCAATTTCTTGATCCAAATTTGGACTTATTGCAGTATACTTGTTTGAACCGTGCTTCTCCTGTAAAGGACAAGGAATATAATAACACAGAAAATATGAATGAAGATTTGAGTGTAGTTTGACTTCTCTCCCCAATGAATATATTACAGCTTTTAGCAAAGTATGGCAATTCAGTTACCTGTTAACATTCTAATTTTGGTTATTATACTATTCGAAGAGCACATGGTAACAAACCTGTCACTGTGCTGGCTTGTTTCCTTTTCACAATGTTTTCATTATGGTCGAGGATGGCGAGGTGGGACCTCTCCCTCATTCCATGGCCTGCCGCTTGGGGAGGTATTTCAGCATAGCACTATAAAAGTTCTCTAGTGGCCCTGTAAAAGTGCATCTATTCCATATGGTCAAGGTCTTTCAGGAGCCTTTAGTCTAGGACCAGCGACAACAGGGCCTGAAATGCCACTGAGTCCTTCTCAATCCACATCCGCATCCTCTAGTCCTGGGCGGCAAGAGGAGGCTGGTCACACCGATGCCGTTTTCCGTCATTATCTCTCCACTCGTGTTTGTTGCAAATATGGTGTGTAATGAATTTCCACCGGTTTTGCAGTGCCTGTGTGAAAGAAAAGATTTCCAATAATACTAATGCTAAAAAAGAAACAAATCAGATCTAAACTTTATTGCAGCTTTTGATTCCTTAACTCTGTTACCCTTACTTGTGGCACAGGTATACCACATGTGGTTTACGACAGACCTGTGAAAGATATTGAAATTTTGAAACATTTCCAACCTTATAAACCAATGGAACTTCTGCAAGATTACAAACCAACACTGACCTGGACCATGCGAGAAGAATTGCATTGTCCTTTTTCCCCCTTCGTCAGTATTTTATTCCGGAAACCTGTGGTCGTAAATGCAGCACAATTTTGGTCAAACACCAACATTTTCCATTTATTTCTGTATTGTCCCCATTCACCCTGTCAGAGCCATTTATATCCGTTTAGGTTTATTTAGCTATTACTTATTTTAGCCACATGGTGGTCTATTGCACAGGGTGTTGCTTGTCACTGGGATTTAGGTAGAACTACATGTGTGGTGATAAATTTGGCTGAACATCCACTCCACCGACAGCTCACCACAGCAATTTATTTATCAGCACACCAGCAATGTATTGTAAGAAAAATAGGAATGGTTTTCTATTTCTTCTGGATTGATACAGCAAAGTCGTTTATTCCAATGTAAAATGGTAGAAAGGTTGGTCTCAATGTAAATTGATCTGGCCATTAGTGCCAAACTGGTCTGACAACCTTTTGTTCAACTATGTACATGATAATTGAGTTAACCTCACACCTTTCACACCTGGCGCCAAAGCTTTGCTGCCCTCAGCCAGTGGAGACGTGTGGATTTTTTGTTGTTTTGTTGAATAAAAAAAATTCTAACCTCTACAATGGCTGAGTTCAGCAAGGGTGCACAGATCTGGGAGGGGGTGAAGAGTGACACAATAAGCTGGGAGGGGGTGAAGGGTGACACAATAAGGTGTTAATGGGGGTAGGTCCTGAGAAGTGTGGAGAATTGCGTGGGTGTGTTTACAAGAATGACAAGAAATACATACCTTTGGCTGTGTGCCAGATGTCAAATTCGTGCTGGATATTAGGATATTGTTCCCTCATTGTCTTCCGTATTGATGAGAAGCGGTCCGTGGTCATCACCTCCACGGCAAGGCCTCTGTAGACTGTAGTAAAAAGAGTCAAGTTTGAGAAGTTTGATGTTATCAAAGTTTTCAACAGAGCAGCAGTAATTTTCCATTATTGTTAATCTGCATCCATTTATATGTATCCTACCTGCACCAGTTCTGTGTGGAGTATCTCCTTTGCATCGTCTAACATAAACGTGTAGTGACAGTATTTCGCCTTGAAACCTGGCGAGTCACATCGGGCATCACCCGCCAAGTGTGGCCGCTTCCCATCCTCCTGTTCCAAATAAACTCTTGCCAAGATTTCTG